AACCATGCCGCCCCGTCCTCGATCTTGTCGTACCACGCCTCCTGGTCCTTGGCGCTCTCTTTCCATCTCCCCCCCTCCTTCTCCTCTTTCATGCCAAACGCCACGAGGTCCTCTCCTAGGCGATACACCCAGTCGCTCTCCTGCCCGCCCCGGTATCCGGTACCCCCCGCCATCGCTCCCAGCAGCATGCGCTTGGGGAGGCGGTTGTCCTCCATGCGCATAACGAAGCCCGCAAAACAGTGTTTGTTGTGGAATCTCAAGGTTGCCAACAACCTGTAAAAGTGTTAGCACTCTCAGACCGACGGTGGTGGGGACCGCGAGTGTACAGACTTGGAGGGCGCCAAATAGGTTGCTGCACGGTGAAAAAGCTTCACGCGTTACGGTTCGCGTTCTGGGTTGCTGCTGTCTCGTTTAGGCTAAGCCGCGGCGCAGCAGGGGGCAAGGGCTAGGTTGCTGTGCACCGTCAACGCTAGGTTGCTGTACGGTGAAAAGCTAGGTTGCCGTGCTGGGCTGCACCTACCCAAGGAATATTAATATTCCGAGAAATGGTATTCCGACATGTAGGCCATCAGATTCGACCAAGTCGTCAGCGCTACTCACCGGAAGTGTCGTTCCGAGAGATAATCGTCGAGTGTTTCAGATCCGGAACCGGGGACGAGGTGGGGACAACGTACACTTTCATACGACCCAAAACGACAGTCGTCTCGACCGGCTCGTTGGGTTTGGAGACATGATAAAGGACGGGCGAGAGTTGTGTTCGGACAGTATACAGACCGTGCCATGGGCTGATAATCTTGGGGTTGGGTCCAGCTGATTCGGTGTACGGACGGTGGACGAGGACTTGGTCACCGAATTTAACACGAAGTACAGCTTCTCATTGGCTTCCTCTTGTTTTGACGTGCGTTCGTTGGGGTTGCGGCGAGCCAACTCGTATGCAAGCTGGAGATTCTCTACGGTACGGCATGAGTGATCGAGACGGTTTGGGGGAGCCGTCGCAACGGGGACACCAAGAATGAGATCGACAGGAAGTTTGGCCGCGCGACCGAACATGAGATAGCGAGGGGTATCTCTTGCAAGGTCTTAGAGTACGCAGTATTGTGCGTGAGTTGTACGAACTGTAGCAGTTCGGACCAATTATCGCACACGCTAGATTGCTGTCCATGGCGAGCATGTTATTGACGGTGCTGTGGACACGCTCAAGGACGGAATTACCCTGAGGACGATTCGCGGCGGTGCGGGTTTTCTTATACCCGAAGTCAGACTGCAGTTCTTCCACAAGTTGGTTTTCAAATTCCTTGCCTTGGTCAGAGTGCAGCGGTTCCGGCGGGGCAAACGACGAGAAGACGCGACCGACGAGGTTGCGCACAACGGCAACGGCTTCTTTGGATTTGTTGGGAATCAATATGACAAAATGTAGCGGTTACCTTCAGACGGTGACTTGTATTCAACAAGATCGACGACTACGCATTGGAATGGTTGGGTTACCGGAAGATCACCGACAGGCAGTTTCGGCGGTCGATGTGACGTTTGTCGGCGTTGACATGATTCGCAGCTCTGAACGTGACGAGTGATATCGGATTGCATAGTTGGCCACCAATAACGGTCGCGAACTTTGTCGAAAGTACCTTTGGGGGCTAGGTGGCCTCCAGGGGAGGGAAGGTTATGGCATGAGGAGATGACAAGGGTTCGTGAGGAGGACGGGACCACGAGTTGATCGCGGAAATGGTCCCGACGGCATGGTGGGCGGGGAAGTTACGAACGATAAAGCAAACCCCCATGAAGGAAAAACTTGCTCATGCTAGACTTGGACTGGTTCGAGAGAACGGGTGGTTTTGTAGGAGTGGTGAGGTAGTCGGAATACTGTCGGAACTCGCGTTTTTTGGTGATCCTACAGTTTGACTGAATCGACTAGAGGGAAGACGGACACAGCACTCGAAAATAGTTTGCGGTTGCTTTCGACGAGCACGATTTCATCGAGGTTGTGTGAGGACGCTTCGTAACCTCGAGGGACCGGGGAAAAGAAGGGTTTGTCATCGGGTACGTTGCGACATATGGCCGCAAGGTTTGGTTCGCACGGCAGAGGGTTGCCGTTGACCTCGCTAACAACACGAATTAGAGTGTCGGGGACGACGTTGAGTTTCCCGGCACGTGTTTGACAGTGAAAGCTTAGTTCTGGAGTGTGATAGCCCAGCACGTTAACATGTTGGACGTGTCTTGCATGCGGCACAGATACCTGAGTGCTTGGTGATTGGTGCAATACGTAAAGTGAAGGCCCCGAAGATATGGGCGCCAGTGGGTGAGGGCGCAGACAACGGCAAGCAATGCATTCTTTCATGGTAGCGCTGTAATGGCGTTGACCTCGTGAAAAACGTTTTCTGTAGGACGCGACGATATCGATTTATTTACCGTCGGCACTATCGCGGGATGGTTGAGTAAGGAAAGCGCCTACGCCTTGTTCAGAGGCGTGGAGGACAGAGTAGAGGATAGCACTTTGTTGACGTTATCGAAGGCGGCATCTTGGGCTGGCCCCCTTGCTTTTTTAAAACTGCGTTTGACATATTATTTTCGAGTGAGTTCGACCGGCGGAGCACTGACATCGGCGTAATGTTTGATAAAACGTCGCACAAAATTCACCATGCCTAAGACGGATCGGAGATCTTTGATGCAGGTGGGAGTAGGCAGGTTGCGAATGGCATCGATACGGTCGGTACTGACAGAAATACCGTCCGCAGAGATGACATGACCCAGATAGTCGACTTTTTCTGCCCCAATTGAAATTTCGCGGGTTTGAGCGTAAGGCCGGCTGCTTGCAATGCTGCGAGAATTTTGTCCAGAGATTTACAGGTCAGCTTCGAATGTGTGATTGATACAGATCAAATTGTCCATGTACGAAAGAAGACCAGAGTCTGGACCTAGGTGACCTAGAGCTAGAGAGGTGACATGTTGGAAAAGCCAAGGTGCATTAGCCACTCCAAACGGCATGCGTTTAATGCTTGCCGGTAGGGGTGACGAGCGCAGTACCGTCCTCTCGGTCCTCCGCCACGGGGATCTGCCAGAATGCGCTGAGGATGTCGGCGACGGTGATGTAGAGAGCTTGTCCAACGACATCCAGGCAGGACTCGAGGTTAGGCATGGGCCAGGTTTTTCGGATGATGTGGTGGTTGAGGCGGGGAATGCCGTTTTTCTTGGCGACGACAGCACATGGGCTTCCCCATACGCTGGGCCGTTTTTCAATGATTCCCCATTCGAGCATATTTGCAACACATTTGTCGGAGATGGTTGCGACGCAGGGATTCGAACGGTACGGCTGACGATCGACCGGACGCGTGCTGGGTGGCACGGAAACGTGGCTTCTGCAATGGTGCAGCGGCCTGGTTCAGACACTGACAAGAGAAAAGACAGGACGCTATTTTGCGCACAAGTCGAGGACAGTTTGTTGTTACTCTGATGTGAGCGTGGTGGTGCCGAAGGCTTACAGGGGCCCTTCGAGTTGAGACTTGGCGCGGCGAAGTTCGTCGTCGGTGACGTTGTGTGCTCGCGACAGAATTGACATGGAGTTGGTCGGGTTCAGCGACAGTTACTGATGACAATTGACGAAGACATACGCCATCATAGAGACGGGCGCCGTCTGAGAAAGGGTTGGCGATTTGGACTACGGCAGATCCATCGGAGCGTGCCAAACGTGCAACGGCAATGTTTCTGAAAGGACTGTGTTTCGTCGGGGGACAAATCTTGTTCGGAAACGATCCGAGGTTCGACAACGACTGTACAATCTTCCGGTGGACGACAATCAGTGTAGGAAGCGCCTCGCGCATCGGTGGGATATCGACGCGTTCACGCAAGGACAAGGCGACTTCAACGGAATCGCTATGGACAGCAGCCACGGACGGTCTCGAGTCGTGGCGACGGTTTCTACGTGAAGTACTGGACGGGTTGGTGCGGTGGACAGCTGGCATTTGTAAACCAGAGGACGAAAAGGACAGGGTTTGTTGTTCCCAATCTAGGATCGCACCAAAATCCGACATGACGCTGTTGTCTGACAGTATTCAATCGGGTCCTAGGGAGGGGACGACAAGGACGGTGACCGTACGGGTGATGTCGCAAAGGGTTGATGGAAAGTAAGTGAAGCCCTTGACCCCTACCGGCGAGCCGTTGGCTGCTCGAAGGGGTACGGCGGCCGGAGGGACAGGTTTGGGCGACGCATTTCGCGAAGTCGGATGGGATTGCAACCAAGGAGGTGACACGACAAGAGACATCAGTAGCTGTGTCCGCTGTGATGTTACTCACGGAATGGTCTTCGATGGAACCGTCAATTCGGACGCGTCGTGAAGGCGAGAGAGATTGGGTTTGTGCGCCAGCCTTAAGCTGTACCACACATCGTCCGAAGCATTTTGTTCATCCACGGAGAACATGTTCCCTTCCCTCACCGAACACAAATGCGAGAGGCGAGGACGCGATTGTCTACTGCAACAGACATCATCGGGTACGAAAGCGAACACAGACTCAACTTGACCAAGAGTGACGCGTTTCCGCGGGGCGACAGCGCCACCACGGCTACAGACACACAGTTGAAGAAGACATCGCACTGTTACTATCACACGCAAGACGTTAACGGGACGATTGCAGAGGCTCTACCTCCTCGGCATGAAGCACCGGGGAGGGTGCACGCAGTTCAGATGAAGCAGTGAGACCCTAAAGCTTTCTCTCGGTACCATAAGGACGAGCACGTCCTCTAGGTACAACACAACGTGCCGTTACGGACATGGACACGGGGCACAACATAACCAGGTGTCCCGACAGCTACTGCCGTGGAGAGTTTTCTCTTCACGCGTTTCCTGCCAAGTGCAGGAGACCACTGCCGTCTTTGTGGCGAGGAGTACGGTCCTCACCGTACAATCGCTTCGTACTGGGCCGTTTCATTCTCGCGGCGGTTGCGAGCCGCCTGGGCTTCCTCGCACTTGTGCTCAAAGCACGTTGCCGTCGTGTGACCGAGGGGTTTCTTTGCACCCGAGAAACCCCCCGAGCACACGACGGAAACGTGCTTTAAGCGGAAGTGCGAGGAAGCCAAGGCGGCTCGCAACCGCCGGGAAAGCAACCGTCTCAGTGCGAAGTGATCGTGCGCCGAGGACCGTACGCCTCGCCACAAAGACCCTAGCGATAATAGCGACGAGTAGGGTTGCCCAGCCAACGTAGCGCCTGCGGTAGTTGGCATGTCTCCTGCACTTTGGCAGGCGTGAAGAGAAAACTCTCCACGTCAGTAGCTGTCGGTACACCTGCTAATGTTGTGCCCTTTGACCATGTCCGTAACGGCACGTTGCGTTGTACCTAGAGTACGTGCTCGTCCGCATGGTACCGAGAGAAAGCTTTTGGGTCTCACTGCTTCGTCTGAACTGCGTGTCCCCTCCCCGGTGCTTCATGCCGAGGATGTAGAGCCTCTGCCATCGTCGTGTAAACGTCTTGCGTGTTTAAGTAGCAGCGCTATGTCTTCTTCAACTCCGTTGATGTGTCCGTCTGTAGCCGTGGCGACGCTGTCGACCCGCGGAAGTGTAATCCTGCCGCTGACGCCAGATAGGGGTTAGCTATCTCAGACCGACGGAAAGGGTTGGACCTTCGCTCGACTTCCGGAGCGACGGTGGTGGGGACCGCGAGTGTACAGACTTGCGGGACAAGAGTATTGATCTACGAAGAGCCAACGGTGGTCTCCGTGAAGAGAGGAAAAGAAGAAGAGCGGCAGAGGAGGGGTAAGGACGGGGTGCACAACACACGGCTCCTCAGTCCTGACCACGCAGAACCAACCTGACGAGGTGGTGACACAGGCACAGTCTGTGCTGACGCTGCACAGCGCTGACACGCTGCCGGGGGATCTCCCCGTGCGTGAGAAGACAATCAGCCGGGCGGTTGCAGTATGCGCGGTTTACGGGCATGTGCATACAGTGAGATACAGACGCGGGCGGACCGCACGGAAAGTTACGCAGAACCAGCGGAGGAACAGTTGGACAAAGGGCCTCGAGTGGAACGTATATGGCAGCAAGGCCAGAGACTCACAAATACAGCGTAGCAACAAAGTTTCTGGTTTGTTAGCGGTAGCGTGTTTACTCGGTCTGTAGAGCAAACCCATATCATTTGAACGCAATGTTTTTATTCCCCTCCGAATCCAGAGACCGGGAAGGGACCACGAAGACATTTTTTGAAAGTAATGACGTATATCAAGGGGGCGTGCCGGCGTCATGTTGTGCATGCACGAGCTTCGAAATTGCCGTCGCCTTCCACTAATTCTCTAGACTATAAGGCCAACAAGAGGCAGCCGACGGGCGACGCAGCAGTATCTCACGTTTCCGCCGGCTTTCGCGCACCAGGGGAACCGGTAGCACACTTGTCCCCTCGATGTAGTACACGACCTATCTGGCCAGGAGTACACAAGTACCCTACAGCAGTACATATCGCCGGTGGCATAGTTGCGTATCACCCGTCTTCCTCTTGCGGGCCTGTTCCCGCCACGTTCCTCGCATCTATCGCGTAGCATGCCTTTTTGCCGGAGACACCATCCTCAATTCTCTTGTTGCTTCCTCCGTGTGCCACCCAGCTGCGGCGAAGGATGCTAAACGGGCGGTTCGGTCGGGGGAGCGAGACCTGGACAAGGAGATACGGAACCTTGACAGGAGCGAGAAGTCGTTGGTAGCGGAGATCAAGAAGACTGCCAAGGGCGGGAACCAAGTGAGTAAACGAGCGGTCGTTGCAGGAACGCCTGACTATACCTTTGAGGAGCGAGGTTTCTGCAACAGCAGTACTGGTGTGCATTTTTCCCTTTGGTATCCGTTTTCCGGCCAACATCAAGCGGAAACAGTATGCCCACTGCTATCTCTACATAGCTCGTCTACATGCTGGCAAAACTACTATAGGAAAACAGTTTGAGTTGGAGTTTGAGCGCGATGGGTATGATCACCGGGAGAAAACACACACCGAAACTGGGTGGGAAAAAGTGTTGCTGGCGAAGACGACTTGCGCATGATATTTTCATTGTGGGTTCTATCGGCTCGGAGCTCACACCGCACTGCAGCATATGTTTCCCCCGCTCTGATCCTGGGAGGAAAATTCAAGTCCCCGGGACGACACAATTCGCGGAACGGGGTCACGCAGGTTGCTCGCAAGTGCAAGGCAAACTTGATACTGAGACCTATTGGGGTACCATCTACTGCTGCGTTTATGCATAGGGGGGGCAGTTTGTTGCGGTGTGCACATAGCAGATGGGAGTCCGTGACACTGTTGCGCGCTTCGGCGGCGGAACCCCTCCTCGCTCACTCCCGATTACGAGGACAGTTCAAAGGATAGGTGGGCCTCGAGGATTAGAAGAGGCGTCTTGGACTGGTGCCCCGGCTCGAGAAGAGATCCTAGGTTGGACGGTCAAACGTATCGTTTAGCAATGACGAAAGCGCGCCAAACATGACCACTTGTCGCGTTTTTTTTTCCAATAGCATCACCACCAACAACGATCCCCATCCCCCCTTGCCACTCCCATGCAGGGTGCAACTCGAACACTCGCGAAGCAGCTTGTGCAGCTACGAGCGCAAAAGGAGCAATTGTACTCGGCAAGGGCGAAGTTAGCGGGAGTCGGGAACGCAGCAACAACGGCGGCGACGTCAGGTACACTTCAGATTACTTGTTCTTTTGCACTTTGGAATGTGTTCTCATTAATATGTACATCTTTCTAGCATCTGCTTCGCGTCTCCTGCGCGTGCTTGGGGGCATGTCAAGTTCCAAAAAGCGGCTGCAGTCGGCTTCCAAAATTTCGTTGGTTTGTCTTCTGAGTTGCGCTACGCACTCCTGTTGTTTCGACCACTTTTACAAACTGGTTCCGGCAAAATTCTTCCAGCTTCGCTGGCCGGGGTTATGGGCAACGTGGCGGGCGTGATGAAGAAGGTGAACGAGGCGGTTAGCACGGAGGAGACGGCGAAGATCATGCAGCAGTTTGCCGTGGAGAACGAGAAGATGAACATGTCGGAGGAGATGATGGACGACGCGCTCATCGACGCGGTGAGATTTTTAGCGGACGGAGGCGTTTCTTCCTGTCGGCGATGCCGTTCCGTGGTAGTCAGAACGTGGCCGTGTCTACCTACGGGAAACGGTGCTCCGAGAGATCAATTTTTACTGCTAGTGTCTACCGGGAACGGCATGCCGAGGGATACCTTAACGGCTAACGCTGATTTGTTGTTCACATACACACCACACCCAAACTTTGTGGTTAGTCCCCCTCGCCTCCCGGCCCTTGTCATCTTGGGGAAGAACTCAACTAGATGAGGCAACGAATAGGCAAAATATTTCAGCACAATTTTTTACCACAATGGTATTCCCTACCCACGATTGCTGGGCATGCCATCGCGCCTAACCCTTGTCCACCCACGTCGTTGGCATTTTCGCAAGCATCCCCCCTCTCTCTCGTCCGTCAGTGACCCCCCCTTCGTACCGCTACCGACCAGGCCGTGCTGGCTCTTCTATTCACCGCCCCCGCATGAATTCTTTCTGGTCGCGTCTCTGGTCTTGGATCCTACGCCAGTTGTCATCCATACTGGCTGTACCGCTACCCTCCCACCTGTCCCGTATCGACCTCTAACCACTAGCTTGCGCAGGGTTTTCCTACTTTATAAAGTAAACCTGTTGGACAGATCATGCATTCGGGGGAGTTGGGTTAGGGTTAGGGTTGATAGGGATAGGGTCTACGCACCCCCTCCCTGGCCCTTCTTCCTCGTAAACTTAATTTCTCGCGAAGGCGGTCGGTCCCCTCTAACCGTATTGTGTCTACCCGCTCGCGTGCGCGCCTTGACGCCGTCCTTCCCATCCGCGCACGCCTGGTCCCCGCTAGTTCGACGGCGAGGGCGTGGAAGAGGAAGCAGACGGAGTCGTTGGCCAGGTGCTCGCCGAACTCGGTCTGGAGATGGACGGCAAGATGGTGGACGCCCCGACCAACACCCCGGCCGGCGTGGCGAGACCATCGGCGGCGGAGGATACCAAGCTGGACGCCAAGACCGAGGAGTTGTTAGCGCAACTCGGCGCTCTCTGAGTTATTTATTGGTTACAAAATATAGGTAAAACTATCATGGGATTGCTCGTTTTTGCTGAGAGATGTGTTACGAAGCATCATGTGTGGGCGACCTTGGCATGGAAGAATTGTTGTGATAGCTCAGCTCGGCGCTCTCTGAAGCGTGATTGGTTGCAACATATAGGTCTCACGGAGAGACTCCTCGTTCGTTCGGAAGTTTGGCTTAATAGGAGATGTGTTTAGAACATCCTGTACCAGCGACGTTGGCATGGCAGAATTGTTAAGGCGCAGCGCAGCGGGTCCTTTTGATATCTCTGGTTTTTGTTCTTTTCGTCGCTCCATTCTCTTGCCTGTCGCTCGCAGTATCAACCTGCTGCACGGTATGAAGTATGATGGGCAAGAACTAGGTGCTTGTTTTTTTAGTTTGAAAACGACAATTTTCTGGTAGAGCTAGTGGATGCCCTTCGGACAGTTGACAGCTCAGAGGTAGGGCACAGCCTCATTTAGTCGTCGTTTTTGTGCTGAAAGCGCAAGAGTTAAACACTCCGCTGGACTTCTGCTCTAGCTGACGCTTTTAGAAGCTGGGAGTACAGTAGTTCGAGACAATCAACCGATTTTTCTGTTGGCGGTTGCTGCGCACTCAAGAGAACTCGAAGAGTGAGCGGCGTTGCTCTGTGATATGCATAGCTGATGCCAGGGCAAAGGGTGGTGGCGAACAGCGAGGGTAATGTATCTTAGATGGTGAACGGTGTGCCCTTCGATGATCGCTTCAGCGGGAAATGTTTCGATGGAAACGACCACAACAAAACGGAGCTTGTTGTGATTTCGCGGTTCTGTGACGTGTCTCGAGAAATGCGCAGCGGTCGGTCGTGTGTAGTTCTCCGTGTTCGGTCGTGTGATTTCTCCGTGGGGCTTGGAGCGTGCGAAATGTCGCTGAATCTCCGGGTTTGGTTGTTAGTTGACCGCAAGCCAGGTCGCGAAAGTTGTTCTTGGCGGGCACCAACCGTGGCTCAGACGTCGTGCCCGAGGCACTGAACGAGCTCCGCCTGCTGCTGCTGATCCTGTCTCAACAGGGTTACATTTTCAAGCTACACTCCGCGAGGTATAAGAAATATCCTGGGGAGTTTGTTGTGGTTGGGTGGCGCGCCTGCTGTACTCCCTTCGGCGGTGACTTGTGCCTGGTTGGGTTTGCTGTATCCGCTGAATGCGCAGTGATTGTCCCGCGAGAGAACAGACTCGCTGCTTGCTACTGACAGCGATGAGTGTATGTTGAGAACCCCTCGTAGAGGAGGTGGGCATCGCGGCTGGCTCTCTATACGTGTCCTACGATGGTACGACTTTGTAGCGAACCTCCCCCCGGTAGTAGTTTAGCTTTAGCTGCGGCATCGAGAGGTGGGTGTACAAGAGGCACTTCGGGGGTGGGTATGTTCCTTGTAGAGACCACGGTCAGAGTGGGAAGTTTGTCGATGAACCGAGTGGTACAGGAACTGATTGATTTTGATTGCCACGAAGGAAAGGGTAACCAGCAGAGGAAGGTTGGCGACGGATCCTTTAATACGGCCTGAAGGTCATAATTGTTTTTGTGCTTGGTGACCCTTATTTATGATGATGTCTCTTTCGCATTTTTTTACGGTAGGTGGCATGGTGATTGGTGACCAAGAGATTATCGCGTTGTACATGGAATGGATGGATGGGTGAGTTGCAGGTGTGCCCGTGCGCAGTTTCTTTGTCATTATATGTATCCCAAGTAGTAACTGATGCATGGGGAGATGTACATGCTCCAAATAGAAACAATGCTCCTGCTACATTTGTTCTTCCGGTCTTCATTTTTGAGGGCGGTATACCGTTTGTTTTAAAATCACCCTACTGCTGCCAGATGTAATGAGGGTAATTGTCCCTCCTTGCCTGTAAATAGCGCTCAGACTCCACGGTTCGGTGGATTACTGCAGCAGTACACATGCTCACGAAACCACAAAAAATGTTCCTTCATGTGTTTTCTGTCGTTGGTGGAGATCCACCACTGCTGTAAGCAAGCCTCAGTTCGTTTCGCTTTTTTTGCTCACAGCGACACAACAGGTCAACAAGTATCTCTGGTACAAGTGGCGGATGTCTCTGACGTTCACCATACATGCACATGTACCCGCGGATATCCGGTCCTGGAACACGGGAGATAATGGAGCAGCATGTCATGAGGCCCCTGCAGATAGGTGGGAGGGGGGGGGGGGGACCCGCGTACCCCCTTTTCGGGCTATTACCATTGCACGATGACTTCGGCGCCAGCAGCCGCACCCAACTTGTATTTGGAGCGTGCGTGCCTCGCCTAGGCAAAGTAGTCACCTTCGCGGCTAAATTGACGACCCATTATGACTGAGGTGGTTCTGTCTGACATGGGCTTCAACTATCCTATCGTGGTGAGCTTTTCCCCTCCCGGTATGTTGTGTCCGAACGTCCTTCTTGTACCATTTGATATCTCCTCATCTCCTCTCTGCATCGCCGTTTTGGGGGTATAGCAAGTGGGTGTATTGGGAGCCTTGAGTGTTGTAAGACACGCTGCGCAACACACGAGATGGCAAGAGGGCCATAAACCATGGTCAGAAGTCTCAGCCTGGTAGGCACACTGCTGTGTAGTCGAATTCGGATTCGAAATTCATCCATATGCACAGCACACAACAAGCGACAGCGGTTCTCCGGGAATGCTACAATCATACGTACAGCTGTAGACATCCTCGTACTTGAAGTCAGCGCTGGGTGTAAAGGCAGCAACGAGGGTGTTGTCATACATACGGCAGTCACACGAAAGCTGCTGGCGTACGGATACATTGTACTGCTGGACAGCTAGCTATCCAGGATGTCAGCCTTTTTCGAATTATTCCGTGTGACTTCAGAGCTTCAGAGAGTCCAGGTGCTGTCTTCGTCTCGACGAGCGCGGAAAAATACTTGTTTTTTCTGAAGAACGGTCGGTGGTCTTCGGCTTATTAATTTGTAGATGCAACAGCACAGATAGATACAACTCGCCCACCTCTGCTGTGCTCGACCACCCCGGATGGGCGAGAGTTTCCGCCCTAGTCTTGAAACATTCTTCGTTCGCTCTGCTGCGTATGGAGGAAGGTTGTTCACGGCAGTAGATTGTTGAATAAGATTCGCACAAGCACATACACAAAGCGACGCGTTGCAAGGCTCGTTGGTTGTTCGTAAACCATAATCGACTTGGTGAGTCGCGAGGGAAGGGATTGCTGTACCCTTCTCGCGATAAAAAAATCTCAGGCAGGAACCGCAGGAGGGGGTCCAACCCCCCCCTCCTGTGTGACCCCGGTTGGGTCGTCTAGCTAGTTGTTGTTGTTGTTGTTGTTGTCGTTGTTGTCTTGACATTAAAAACCGTTCCGATCTCGCTCTACCCAGTACCTTCGTATGTCCGTACTGATCCAACACTCGACGCGGTCGATTCCCGTGGTCGCAGCTAACTTACCCTAAATAGTTACACTCAAATGAAATGGCCCCGAGGGGTCCGCAAGTCAATAGAAATCAACGACAGATATTTTGGAGTCCTCCACTCCCTCTGCGTGCTATGCGAGGTAACAACTGAGACTGGGGGTCACCATCACGGGCCGGAGAGGATGAGGTACACCCCCTTGGTTCAATCTTGGTACTTCACAACGCAAGCAGAAACAAGGCCATCTGGCACAGAAAAAGAGAGAAAGAGAGAAAAAGAGAAAAAGAGAAGAAAATAAAAGGAAACAATAAAGGCCACTTGTTACGCTGTCTCTTTTTGGGCTGTCCCTTTTCTCAAAAAGGGACAAAGTTGCCCAAAAAGGGACAGGATGGGGTGATCTTTTTTCGCTGTCCCTTTTCGGGAGGTTCAAAAACGCAAAAAAAGACCACGTAACAAGTGGTTTTTGGTCAGTTGTCCCTTTTTGAGAAAAGGGACAGCCCAAAAAGAGACAGCGTAACAAGTGGCCTAAAATAAAAGAGAAAATGAACTGAAAAGAGCAAGGACAAGAAGGACGAAAATAACAAGAAATAAGAGACAGAAAAAGGCACACGGTGGAGAGGCCACTAACGACAAGCAAACACGCAAACAACTAGTTGTAGTAGTATTAGAAGTGGAGGATAGGGGCCAGAGGGGCAGACGACAGAGTCCAATGATGGGAGAAAAAAAAAAATACAAGTGGTTGTACATCGTGGAAAATGTGTCGGGCGATGAACATTGATTCCATAGACACCAGGATACCAGGGCCAACCCGCGCTTGTCGGAAGTAGCACCGACAGTGCTTTTTAACGGACAAGTAAATTGGGGGCGACGTTGTGCGCCCTCTTGCCAAAGCTGAGCTCCATCCGATGAACTCGAGGAGAACATGAAATAAAAAAAGGCGTACATTCAAATCAACAGAACGTCGTTTTGTTTGCCTCGGTCCCACCACCACCGATGGTTGCTATATTCGCCAGAGGGCCCGTTTAACGCACGGCGACATAGCACACCTGCCGTAGGTCACATGACACAAGATAACACACTATCTGGACCGATTTTCAAAGCTCGACTACTCCACGACAACACGAAGAAAAGGGGACTCGCATCTTACGTGAAACGCCACGTGTTCGGGAAACTATCGACAACGCCGCCGTTTTTAGGCGCTGCCGCTCTTGCCGTTGCGGGGAATCGAGCTTTGAAAGACGGCTCAGGGCGTGTGGAACCTTGTGGCACTTATGTATGGTAATCTATAGCTCTTCCAAGCACGATGTGGCAGGAGGCATGATGGCATGAGGTAGGACGTACCCCTGAGAACCTACCCACTATTTCTTTTTCTTTTTGCGACCCCCGCCTCTGTGTTATGTTAAGCTGCTGAACGATAGGATAGTGGGCGTATTGGAGAAGGAACGTATGATGAGTGAGAGCCAGGCAGGTTTCCGGAAGGAAGAGGGGGTGCATAGACCACGCATTCACGTTAGAGAGAATCATCCAAGGTAGAAATATGGAGGGGGAGCCGACCTACTGCTTCTTCCTGGACGAACAAAATGTTGATGGCAGTGACAGCACAACCGCCGCAGGTATTCCGGTTTGCATCACGTGGGAAATGGACGAAAATGTCATCAACGCTGAAGAATTGCAAGATTGGCACAACTCCTGGAAGAATCTCGGAGTTCTTCAGCATTGATGACATTTTCGTCCATTTCCCACATGGTGGAACCCGGAACCCCTGCAGCGTTGGTGCTGTCACTGCCATCAACACCGCCGGCGCCGATTCCTTCTTCCGTCTCTTCGGCGATGGTCTCCATGTCTCCCGAACCTGTTTTGTCGTCCTCGGATGTAGTGCCGCCCTCGCGCCTTCTCGCGAGAACCGGCCTGATGAATCGCTTGTGCGTCCACGCCCGCGCGGTTGATGCGGGCGGGGGTTTGGGCAGGGACGCCCGCGTAGAATGTCTGCAGTGTCCTTGTCCTTGGAACAAAAAAACACTGACTGCGTGGCGGCGCCAGACTTCGAAGCCTGTGCCGTTGAATTTTCTGACCGCTTTCATAAGCTTGTCGATACCGTTGCTAGCAGACGGTGAATCTGCCATGCTGCTGCTGTCTCGGACGTTGATCTTGTCGATGACGTGTGTTGAATACAGCGTGAACAGTTGACGGTCCCGCGTATGACGTCAGTTGTACCGCAGATGTGCAGATACAAAGATTTTGTCGACAAATGAGTGCCGATGGTGGTGCTGACGGTGATGAATGCCGTTGTAGTGGCGAACGTCTCTTCTTGTGTACGTGCCTGTGTCTTGGCTAGGCTGCTGCAGAGCCTGCCGAACTGACGGTTGATGAACCTGTCGACCTGGTGTCCCGTCGAACCCAGGTCCTCCTCGAAAAAGTCGGCGAAACGTGCGGAGAAATTACGATGTCGCTGAATAACGATCCCCCTATGGACGGGTAGACGTTGAGGGTAGCTTGTTGAACGTGTAAAACTAGCAGAGCGTGCAGAACGTGAAGTAGGCGATCCAGATGAAGTCAGGGACGAAGCCGACGAACTCGATGAAGGTCCTCACGTGCCCCGAAGAAGAAGTACTGGCCAGCGGTTTCTCCGGAACTCGATGCGTTGTGCCAAACTTGGGCTGTACGCGACGCTGTTGTGTAGGTGATGCTGCTGATGCTCCCCCTTTGCTGTGATGTAACGAGGCTCATAACCTGTTGGGATGTAACCTTTGTGATAGATGTACCCCTGGCAATGGCCCCTGTGTAGTAAAAGTGTGCAGAGGCTCACAGAGTGACCGTAAAGTAAACTTGTGTTGTAGACCAGAAAAGATGGTTTGAATTGGCGCTTAGTTGGCCGAAAGGTCAGAAGAGAGAAAGGAGAAGGAGAGAAAGAGAGTAGAAGGAGAAGGAGAAGGAGTAGGAATGAGCGAGTGGGGGCGAGCACCACGGGGGCGAGCCGTCCATCGTCATCACGAAAAGGAAACACACACGGGCTATTGCTATATACCGATCACGGTAATAGACGATCAATCCGACCTATGACAACGCTACTAGAATATCCTATAGGACAATGGTCCGCTGTACCATACTCCGATGGTTCAATGTATAACCCGTAACGGTGTACAATGATCCGATTACTGAATCAACATACCGAAGACTATTCCGGTAATACTCCTTAGGTGTTTACAGCAGTACAAATACTAATGACCGACATTGAGTATTCCAACACAACAGGCATACGATACAGTATGGAGAAATGGGTTGTGGAAACAGTTGTCAGAGTACGGGATCAAGGGGAAAATGTGGATAATGCTGAAGAAGATGACAAATGTACGAAAAGCGTGGTCATGCTAGACGGAGAACTGTCTAAATTGTTCAACATTGAACAGGGAGTCCCACACGGTTGCACTTTGTCCCCAACATTGTTCCAGGTGTCCATCAACGATCTGTTGAAAGTCGTAGAAGCAGTCGAGAGGGATTAGAGGTAGAGGAAAGCACAGTGTCGGGAATGCTGTTTGGGTATGGCTTTGTGGGGGTGTCTGACACCCCTGAGGGACTGCAAATGCAAACTGATGCGGCGAAGGAGTTTTCTGATAAGTGGAGATTGTCTGCCAATGTTAAGAAGAGTGTCGTCATGGTATGCAACGAGAACAGGGAGGAACCAGTAATATAGATGGAAGTGGGGGGTCGAGGAGCTTGCAGTAGTGGACCAGTAAACATGCCTCGGAGTAGAGATTGCAAAAGACTGCTCGCGGAATGCACACATGTCCAAGGTAGCGGAAAAGGCCAAAGCACGAGCAGGTAAGCTGCACCCAATACTCGCAAACCGGCACCTTGACGCAAGACGGAGAGCGTAATCGTACCGCCGCTAGAGTACGCCGGAGAAGTATGGGAAGGAAATAAGAAGGTAGTGAAAGAGCTCGAGGCGGCGCAGATGAAAGCAGCGAAAGTCATCCTAGGATGCTCCAAGCGCACAAGTAATGCGGCCGTCAGGGCAGAACTGGGGATCCAATCCCTACGGTCGGGACGAGACGCGAGGAAGCTGACATGGCAGTATCGCATGTGCGGGATGGGAGAGGAGAGGTTACCGAGAATTGCATGGGAGGCGAAGTGGGCAAACAACAAGAGGGGTAGACAACCCACGGAGTGCGTCAAGGTTGTAGGTGACGTATGGAAAGGGTTCGAAATCGACGAAGACAATGCGCTGGATACGGAGGGTCTAAAGGGTTTCAAGGAGAACATGTCTGTTGCTTTTGCCGAGAGAGAACAGAATCTAAGAAAAGAAACCAAGGATAAGGAGGGCATAGAGGTGTACGGAATGTTGAAATAAGGAATAGGGTTCAAGGAGTACCTTCATGGACCAATGGATGCAGGGACAAAGGTTATGGTGAAATCAGGACCGAGGACATTGGCCTTCGAGAACGTAGCCGAAGACTTCGGAAGAAAGACGATGAAGACGCCAAGTTCAAATGTGATTGCGGCTCCGAGTGCGAAGACCGTGTTCATGTAGTCACGGAATGTCGGCTGTACAAGAAAGGAGAGGGAAGTGTACACGACTGAGCTGGGAAAAGTTGAAGAAAGTACAGAGAGATGTTTGAGGCATGGGATAGCCAGGAGAAGGCATTAGCTGTACTGGGGCATAGGAAGTGAGATGAAAAGGCGGGAAGAGATATCGTTAGGATAGACTAGGGATGACATTTTTGAGCCACCTTTGGCAAAGTAGGAAGGAACGATTGGCCATCTGTGGTCCGTCCTGTGGGAACAATGCTCCGTCCTCTCGAGGACGCGTGGTCAAACGTCTAACCGCTAAGGCATGCAAAACATAAGAAGAGTACCCCCCCCCCCCCCCCCCCCCCCCCCCCCCCCCCCCCCCCCCCCCCCCCCCCCCCCCCCCCNCCCCCCCCCGCCTCTCGTGTATCCTGCTCTGCTGGCTTTCCCGACACTGCTGGCTTTTCTCGCTTCTCCTGCCATACTTCTTTTAGCTGAGCTCGTTCTACACGGCGATAAACTGGGCCGGTACGGCTGTCTTCCGGCGCGAGAGGAAGACCAGCAAGCAGGGCTTCGACCGGCGACAGTGGACCCTGGTCTCGCTCCTGTCGGTGTCCACCGCCCTTAACACGCTCGTGGGGCGGGCCAACATCGCCGTCCCGACAACGTTCGACCAGGTACACACGAAACACGGCGGTAGGGTGCATGCGGTAAGGACGACACTTGTACGGTGAACGGCATTACCGAGTTGCGGTACACGGTATAGTGCCGGCATATGTACGCTGTCCCAACAACGTTCGAACAGGTACTCACGGCACTTAACGGCATACCGGTATGGTCGCATGATGACACACGGGTATTACGGTATGGTGCCGGCCGGCGACTTCGGCTGCCACAACCCGCGTTGTTTGATTCCCTTCCGTCCTGTTTTCGTGACCCCAGGAGAGGACTGTCTGGCTGCCTTTGACTGAGACGATACGATGGGAATCTGAATGGAAGAATTCAAACGTCGCCCTTACCACACTACAAAACCCCCCCTGAAGAATAACGTGCATACCACGAACGGTGATTGCTTGTACACAGCAGTGCTTGCCCATTCCCACACCATGTGCTTATCGTGTTCAGCTGGGGAGCAGCTCGGACGGGGTCGGCGCTTGTTGCCATTTCGGTGTTCACGTGCGTGCGTTTCCCTCCCCCCGGCTTTCTCACTCTCTCTCTCTCTTCTGGGCAAACACATTTCATGCCTGTCATCGACTGTCCGCTCATCCAACATTCAGTGGATATTTTGTTATTCATGTTTGCCCCGTACCGTCTTGCTTGGTACCCGTGGAAAACAAAACGGAATGATGGAACCGCGCGACGGAGCAGATGCTGCAAGCTGTGGGGCCGCTGTTAGTCCTGTTGCTCGCCACGCGGGTGTTCAAGCGCTCGGTCTCGATGAAAAGAAAGGTAAGGTTGAGTTTGGAGGCGGGCGGCTTGTTGTCATAAGCGCACAGAGGAGAAGGTTGACGCAAGACCTTGATATCATTAACGAGTGCGCCAGGCATGCTAGCCCACGCACGCAGAGGGGGGACCGCCCCTCTACAAGACACAAACCATCATACAAGAAGACCCCTTAGATCTCCGTAGATCAGTATCGAGTGCTTAGTACCTCCCACCAACTTGGTCTACACAGCAGTAGCAGCGCACGTTTTGCGCTGAATGTCTTTGCCTTGCTTCGGTTCAAATCCTTCCCCAAATTGCACGCTCTGTGACACCAATTTTTTCTGTCCTTTATTTTTTTGTAGTCTTCCTACTGTCGTTGTTTATAGCGCCTCCGAGTGAGGTGCGATGTCTTGATTGGCAGAAGGCGCTATCGAGGTCGTCGCGATGGTGGTGGTATCTAAAGCAGCAGAGAAAAGGGGTTTGTGGCGGAGAAAGGGACGGCATGCCGCATTGTGGTTGGCCAAGAAAAAATGGGTCGAGTAAACCGTTCCAATGATCTCTGGCGTCATCCGCGGTACTTTTTTTGACGGCCGAACCTTTCCCTCCACGACAATATATACCGCTCTCGTGTTGTGTTTGAACGTGCCAAGGTGGCGGTGATCCCAATCGTGGTCGGGGTGGCGATGACATGGTACAGCGAGATGGAGGTTTCGAGATCGGCGTTCACGGTGTCGGCGGTGTGCATCGTGCTGAACGCGATAAAGGTGGTGATCAACTCGGAGATGCTTACGGGGGAGTACAAGGTGTGTTTGTGTGTTCGTGTTTGTGTGTCATTCCCGACCAGTAGCATCGACCGCGCTTATCCCGCTGACCAATGAAAAACCGCCCCTCTATTCCGCGGAGTTCCTTCGACGACATGTACATGAGGGACGGGAGGAGAAGCGTAGCGTACGTGATATTTGGTTGGTCTGGCTAGCGTGCCAAGGGTCGCACTCTCGCAGTATGGTTTGGATGTGATCGTGTGTTCCTGGTGTTGCCGTCTTGCGAGATGGCGTAGCCATCCTATAAGACATAGGTACGCAACCAGGCAACGCCCTTCCCCGTAGATAAACTGATTACTCCAAGGACCCACAATTTGTCGTTTTGCCAGCACCCTTCTATCTCGGAGGCAAACAAAAATTTGGTATTGTACGAGGTGGGATCCTGACTGGCGCATGTACGAAGCGTCGCGATTTCGCGGTCCCCCCCGCCCCTGGAATAAACTACGGCAACTCAAAACATCGGATGCGACTACAAGCAGCAGTAGGAACTGTTGTCCATCCGTCCTGAATGAGTCGACACAAATCTGTGTTCAGTAGAGCACCTACGACGACAGAAAACCCATGACTAATCCCGCCCCCGCCCCCCCCCGCTCCCCGTCCATTGGTCCATCGATTCATCCCCAGGTTACGCCGCTCCATCTCCTATCTCGAGTCTCGCCCATGACTTTGGCTCAGGTGAAAACAAAACAGGTTACGTGCCCGGTGTTGCTTACCTTCCGGCTCGACACCACAGGGGATGTATCAGCAAAGCATTCTACAGTGAGGCTGCTTGTCGCCGCTTGGGGGGGGGGGCGTACTCTTATGTTTTGCATGTCTTAGCGGTTAGACCATTGACCACGCGTCCTCGAGAGGACGGAGCATTGTTCCCACAGGACCGATCACCGATGGCCAATCGTTCCTTTCTACTTTGCCAAAGGTGGCTCAAAAATGTCTTCCCTAGTCTGTCTATCCTAACGATATCCCTTCCCGCCTTTTCAACCCACCTCCTATGCCCCAGTACAGCTACCGTCCTTTCCTCTCTATTCCATGCCTCAAACATCTCCCTGTACGTTCCATCTATTTTTCCCAGCTCAGTCACGTACACTTCCCTCTCCTTCTTGTACAACGGACATTCCGCGACTACATGAACACGGTCTTCGCATTCGAAGCCGCAATCACATTTAAACTCGTCGTCATCGTCGTCTATCGTCCTATGTCTTCGTCGACGTTCTCGAAGGCCTATGTCCCCGGTCCTGAATTTGACCTTAAGCTTTGTTCCTGCATCCATTGGTCCATGTAGGTAGTCCTTGAACCCTATTCCTTCCTTCAACATTCCGTACACTTCTAGACCCTCCTTATCCTTGGATTCTTTCCTCAGATTCTGTTCTTCTCTCTCGGCACAAGCAACAGATATCTTCTCCTTGAACCCCTGTAGACCCTCCGTTTCCAGCGTTTCATCTTCGTCGATGTCGAGCCCCTTCCATACGTCCTCTACAACCTTGACCCATTCCGTGGGTTGTCTACCCCTCTTTTTGTTTGCCCACTTCGCCTTCCATACAATTCTCGGCAACCTCTCGTCTCCCATCCCGCACATGCGATACTGCCATGTCATCTTCCTTGCGTCTCTTCCGCGGCTTGGGGGGGGGGGTTCATTCGGTCGTAGATAACCAGAAACGCCTTGCCCGATCTGCTCCGAAAATTACTCCATCTCTCCTCCGGCCAAGCACACGGTGTGGACGTTTTGATTATGCAGCTCACCCTTGTCAAGCGTGTTGCTGAACACCCGAAAGCCGTTGGCGCATACAGTGCAACGGTAGCCCGGTCGGTAAACGGAAGAAACTTTGTGGCATCCGAGCATCGACAAAATGCGAGCGAGGCCTACGGTCTGACCGACGACTGCGGCTATCGAGTACAGTCGACCCCGCTTTAAAGACACACCACGTTTTCCCCCCAAAAAAGTGTCTTTAACGCGGGGAAGTGTCTTTAAAATTCCGGGGCCACTAACGCACCATCCCCGGGGCCAATGAAGGCGAAACAATTGTCAAAAGGTGCGCATTCGCAGCAGAAAGGGGACCACAAGAGGTGTTGTTTGAAACCTACGACACAAGGTGATTTGACGGTCGCAACCACTCGTGCTATTGTGCTGCAATACATACTTGCATACCATCGTTTGAATTTCCCCGTACTGTAATTTACCACCAAAACGCTGAAAGCGATGGTGTTCTACGACCCACGCATCGTACATGTACCGACGGTAGTGCGCTGGTGTTGATATGGGCTTAATTATTTGCTTTTTTTTTTTTTTGGCGTTGTCCTCCCCGTGAATATCTTGTCCAAGATCTCGCTACCGCACCTGAGAAATATCGAAGGTTGCACAACGACACTAGGAAAATGTAGGTTACGCAGAAACACAGAGCCCAAAAATGTCGGGAAAGCACAGCAACAAAGAGGACACCGCGCCTCCCAAAAGGTCAAAACGAGGCACAAGACAACACAAACGTCAAATTCAACCTCACGAGACTTAATCCAAGGCAAACAACGAACGTTGGCAATAAAAGTGCTTTGCTCTCGAAACCAAAAACTATACCCGCCACATATCCCGAAGAGTCGCCTGCACCTCCCCCTCCTTTGCTCTCCGCTTGACCTGAGTTTCATGAGTAAACGAATGCACAGTCTTAGAAAGAAGGTACGCCGTTTCGCTGTACTCGCCGTCTCTTCCATGTGTGTANGGCGTTGTCCTCCCCGTGAATATCTTGTCCAAGATCTCGCTACCGCACCTGAGAAATATCGAAGGTTGCACAACGACACTAGGAAAATGTAGGTTACGCAGAAACACAGAGCCCAAAAATGTCGGGAAAGCACAGCAACAAAGAGGACACCGCGCCTCCCAAAAGGTCAAAACGAGGCACAAGACAACACAAACGTCAAATTCAACCTCACGAGACTTAATCCAAGGCAAACAACGAACGTTGGCAATAAAAGTGCTTTGCTCTCGAAACCAAAAACTATACCCGCCACATATCCCGAAGAGTCGCCTGCACCTCCCCCTCCTTTGCTCTCCGCTTGACCTGAGTTTCATGAGTAAACGAATGCACAGTCTTAGAAAGAAGGTACGCCGTTTCGCTGTACTCGCCGTCTCTTCCATGTGTGTACAAGTAGAGCGGACATCGTCGAGACGAGAGCGAACTACAGGTGCTGCAGCACATTTTCTGGGGGGGGTCGAATGGTGGAAAACCCTACCCCCCCTACTTTTTCACGTCTGCGGGGCACCATGTTTCTGAGTTTTTTTTGTGTCCTTTAAGCGGGGAGTGTCTTTAAAAATTGTGTCTTTAAAGCGGGGACGACTGTACTCCTTTCCCTCTCTCCCGCCGCTTTCACTGTCTTTTTTCTTTCTAGTAAGCGTGTTGACCGGTGGGCTTGCTGTGGCCACGAAAGGCGTTCGCATCAAGTGGACCGGTACGGATGTCAGAAGGTACTGAGCACGGAACGGACCCGTGTCCAATCTCAAGACACCAACAACTACAAGAACAACTTCACCCCCCCCCAACCAACTTGTTGGTGCATACGCGTGCAGATGTCGACGTTCGCCCTGGTGCACGGAGAGGTGTCGGGCATGGTGGGTCGGTGGAGGGAGATCTCTATGGGCTGGGCGCCTCACGTGATCGCCTTGACCGGGATCGCGTCGTTCGTCTTGACGGTCATGTCCTTGCACGCCACAAAGTTCGCGACGCCCCTCACCGTCAGCGTGTTGGGCGCGCTGAAGCAGGCAAGCTCTGCGGTTGATTATGGCGTTTATGCACTCTGCGGCGTCTTGTGTTGTGTTTATGTCACTAGCGTCGCCCGCGCTAACCGGCTGACAAAATGAAAGCGTGTGTTTCATCAGTTAGCATCGACTGTGTGTGTGAAGCGTTGCACAAAAATAAACCGTCAAGCCTTTGCTCCCGTATTCTGGCCTTTCCGCAAAAATCGAATAAAGTCTTCCCTCGCCCACGCTCTTCCCTCCCGCATCGCCAGATATTGGTAGTAGCGTTCAGCGTATTGCGCATGAAGCGGTCGGTGTCTCGCCTGAACTTTCTCGGCCTCGTCTTGGTACTCGTCGGCGCGGTGAGGTACACCATCGTCAGCAGAAGCGAGCGACGAAGCCGCGAAAAACGCGGCGCAACCTCCGCCGATTCGGTGGGTAACAAGGCGTCTGTTTTGCCTACGACTGTGCCCAGCATCGGTCCTAGCGACGCTAGGGTGGTGGTGAACGGTAAGAGAGCTGGGGCGAAAAGGGGTGACGGTGACATCAGGAGGGGTGGAGGCTGGGCGATTTCGAGGGCGATGGCGTGGGGAAGCGGCTGGTGGGGCGGCGAGAAGGGTGACGCTTCGCGCCGCGACAGATAGCGGGGTGGCAGCCGCGGGACACCGGGGACAAGAGAGAGAGAGAGACAGAGAGACAGAGAGAGAGGAGAGGCCGTTCTCACGAACACAAATGGCCTACGGTACATGATGAGGGAGTCACCGCGATCCTGGCTCTAGGGTTAGCCGTGATAGACAAATGGCACCGTAGGGCGCTAGTAGTAGAAGGGTCCCTCGACAACGGCGGGGGTCCCTCCACTCTCTCGCAGTAGCAAGGACACCTGTAAGTCGATGTGTCATGGTGGAGGGAAAACGAGGACGGTGCCGATGTGCCCCTAGAAAGCTCGTCGCGGTTCTTGGTCGAACTAGTATTGTGGGTGGTGGGGCATGCAGTTATTGTCGGGTGATGTTGGTGTGCCCTCGCTGACAAAAGTGCGGCCTACAGTTGTTGTTGTTGTTGTTGGTGTGCCCTTGTAAACAGCAGAGCTTGTGTTAAGTAGGCTGAGCATGTTTTGGCAGCAGCGCGATACGTGCCCTACGAGGGGGGGCGTTTTTTTTTTTTTTCGGTGCTTGCGGATTCCGAGCGAGAGCGTTTTTTTCAGTTTGTGTCGCAACGGTTGGTTGTCATGTGCATATGGTCGTATCCCATCCCATTGCCAAGAGAGGAATGAGAGATGAAGGAGACAGGCATCCACCAGCCAAACGTATCTAAGCACTCATGGAACTTGGTGAGGGCATGACTCTCTATGGAATCCACGGTGCCCCCTAGTTTTCCCTGATCCGTTGTATCAATACCTCCACCCCCTTGTATTGTTTTTGTTCGAACTGGTTTCCTAGGACGACTTTGCGCTTCTTAATTCATGCATTGGCGGTTCCTCCGCACCGGAATGTTGTTACGGTTCGTTACGGCGTCCATCCGTTTTAATGAATGGTGTATGGGATTGTGTCTGTGGTGTGCGCGTGTAAGTTGGAATTTAAAGAGTGGAGCTGCGTGAAATAGACATGACAATAGCTTAAGAATGTATTTCACCGCCTGGTAGGCAGGATTAGCGCGAGAATAGCACTCAATGAGTAAATAAGGAACTCAAGTTATTCAATAAGGAGTGTTTAAGGTGTGTTTGGTATCCAGGCGTCGATCGATACCTCGATGCAAATCCTGATGGTTTACTTCTCCGGGTAGGTATGATGCGAGCAAAACCAAGAAAGCGTCGGAAGAAGCATGGACGAGGAAAGTCCACGAGTGGCTTTGTGCGTGAGTGTTGAATTGATTCATCCGGGTCACCCTCGAAAGTGCTGTTACTGTAGTCGTTGTTATTCCCTGGTCAGCAGCGCTCTATTAGGAAGCGCTACACAAGCCCCCTTACCGACACTCCGTCGTCCTGTAGCGTCTCAATATCGATTTATAAATTGCCCTGCTCATGCAGGGCCGCCTCCAATCCGAGGTCCGCCTTCCTTTGAACGTGCGTGCGTGGGTGCGTAGTTGGTTACGCCAATGAAGGAAGTGTTTTCGAAATCACACGGCACAAGACTTGTGTTGTGCCAAGTCTCAAAATCAATGTATAGACGAGGCAGATAGACATCCCGTCCCAACGAGCTGGTGTCGGTGGTTTGGTGCGGCACTGTTTAGTCGAAAGCGCCGCAATCCTTGTCTCGCGGGTCTAGAACCTCCCAACAGGAACGATCTAGCTCTGCTCGACAGGGAGCTCAGCTAGCTTTGTTAAGGGTCCCTAACGTTGAGAAGCGTTCGCGCATGCATGTGGAGCCAGCAAAACGCACTACTTGGGAGGTCGTTTGCGATTTCATGACTTTCAACCCCATTTGTTGACCCTTGTACGCACACGAAACATCTACCCGTCTGTCAACAGTCACGCATTTCGGGGTTACACCAAACCTCTATAACTCACATGGTGCTGTCTCACAGGGGTGTTGTCAGAACGTACCACACTTTTCCATGGATCCCAAGCAACGACTTGCCCTCTCACTCAGCGTCATCCGAGAAGTTTTACAACCCCCCCCCCCCCCC